TCTCTTAGCAAGGAAAGAGAACAATGATCTTATAATTGAACAACTAACAGAATTAGAAAAGATCTCGGGCCTGGTGCACTGGGAAGACCCAGAGGGATCGGGTGGAGAGGGAGGTGGGAGGGGGGACCGGGATGGGGAATACATGTAAATCCATGGCTAATTCATTTCAATGTATGACAAAAACCACTGCAGTGATGTAAAGTAATTAGCCTCCAACTAATAAAAATAAATGAAAAAAAAAAATCTCATGTTAACTTCAAAGCACTAGAAGTTTTCAGTGACTTTTGCATCCAGTAAAATGTGTCTCTGAGGTTATATTGTTCACAAAGCTACTTAGGTTTTCCATTACCAGCCACTCAGACATCAATCTTTTTGACTGCAGTTCTGATGTTGATACCTTCCTCTGTGACTTGTTCTGCGTCTGCACTTCATGGCTTTGATGGCCATTTAATTTCAGCTTTTTCATCAGCCTGACTCAGAGAAAAATGTAGTCAGCACTTCTGGTACCATTACATGCTGGTCATATGTTGAGTGGAGTTTCATTTAACCCCTGGAAGACTGTGATGTCTTCCCCCTCAGACCTGTGATTTGTGGACAAATGCTCAATGAATTTACTTCCTCATTTATGGCATGATTTTTCTTTTCTTTCTTTTATATTTTTTGAAAGTCGGGATTTCTATTCTAACATGCACAAACTTAATATTGAATTTTTTATGTCTTGGTAATACATTTAAGCTAAAATTGGAATTGGATTCTGTCTAGACAAGATTTGTAACCTATTTGCATAACTGTACATTTAACTTACATGTATAATATACGTTACTGATGGGGGACCTTGAACTTTTTAATCAATATAAATTGATAAGAGGCCAGATGAGAAATTCAAGCAAGGCTTTACTGAGGCTCGTGCTGCAGCACAAGGGTGAAAAACAAGTAACAGGTGCCTTTGTTTACTCTGAGAACAGTAGACTGATTCCTTGAATGGAGTGAGAGTGGGGGCGGATCACAGAGGTGGCTTAGATGGTCTGCCCACCTCCTAGTAGGCACTGTGTATAAAGATCATATGCAGTGCCTTGCCTTTGCTCTCAGCATCTCAGAAATGGCAGTTGGCTTATGCATCTGTGCAGTTAGTTTTAGTTGCTTAGAGTTCCTTTGTATTCTGTTGCTGGAGGAGACGTTTGTGCAGGTGCAAGTACGCCACTAAAGGATCCCAGGTCCCAGCCTGTCTCACAATGTTGTGCCTACTGTATTAGCTCAGATTGTGTAAGGTTGTAGCCTTGCCATCAATTAGTTCGGTTCAGTCGCTCAGTGGTGTCCGACTCTTTATGACCCCGTGGACTGTGTAGCACGCCAGGCCTCCCTGTCCATCACCAACTCCCAGGTTACTCAAACTCATGTCCATTGAGTCGGTGATGCCATCCATCCATCTCATCCTCTGTTTTCCCCTTCTCCTCCCACCTTCAATCTTTCCCAGCATCAGGGTCTTTTCAAATGTGTCAGTTCTTCGCATCAGGTGGTCAAAGTATTGGAGTTTCAGCTTCAGCATCAGTCCTTCCAATGAATATCAGGACTGATTTCTTTTAGGATGGACTCATTGGATCTCCTTGCAGTCTAAGGGTCTCTCAAGAGTCTTCTCTAACACCACAGTTCAAAATCATCAAATCTTTGGTGCTCAGCTTTCTTTATAGTCCAACTCTCACATCCATACATGATTACTGGAAAAACCATAACTTTGACTAGATGAACCTTTGTTGGCAAAGTAATGTCTCTGATTTTTAATATGCTGTCTAGGCTGGTCATAGCTTTTCTTCAAAGGAGCAAGTATCTTTTAATTTCATCACTGCAGTCACCATCTGCAGTGATTTTGGAGCCCCCCCAAAATAAAGTCTGTCACTGTTTCCACTGTTTCCCCATCTATTTTCCATGAAGTGATGGGACCAGATGCCATGATCTTAGTTTTCTGAATGTTGAGTTTAAATCCAACTTTTCACTCTCCTCTTTCACTTTCATCAAGAGGCTCTTTAGTTCTTCACTTTCTGCCATAAGTGTGGTGTCATCGGCATATCTGAGGTTAATGGTTGGACTGATTTGAACTAGCCCTATAGTCTGTTGCTTTTCTTACCTGATACCCACGATGGGCAGACTCTTTGCAAGTCTTAGTTGGAGTTGGCATGTGAAAGTGCTCGAATGATGGAGTGTCTCCCCTCTTTGTGATGTACTATTTCTCTGGGGATTCAAAGGTAGGGAGGGTGGTGCCGGTCTGGAATGTCCTGAGCTGGTTCCCTGGAGGATTAGCATTTGAGATGGCCTGGAAGGGTGGGTAGGATTAGCACTCTGGGTGTCCAGGCAGAAGCCACCTGGAGAGTGTGCACTTAGGTGCTGATGGCTCCTGGAGGCTGTTAAGTGTGGTGAACACTCTCAGAGGTGCTGTAAAGAGGTCAGGAGGCAGTGCTTTTGGGGTTGGTTTGGTGGTATTGGGGAAGACTGATGAAGGAACCGTTAAAAAAGAAGCCAAAAAGATGTATCAGTATTTGAAACAACTAATAGCAAGTGATATTCTGAAATTGTGTTGTTTCCAGAGGAAAAGAGAATTGGCAGAGAGATAAGCTGTGTCAGAACAGGCTAGAGCTGGTACCTGACTGATGATGGGAGAGGTGGTGTGGAGAGAAAACTCAGGCTGTTGTGGTTGAGAGTCCACAGAGGAGTCCTCAGACAATCATCTGTCCATCCTGCCTCCTGCTGGACATGGGCTCGGAGTGGATAGGAGTTGCTATGCCCGGTGTTAGGTTCTCAGTGAACTTGGATGAGAGGAGGAGAGAATGAATGAATCACATCTCCCACCAGCTGGTCTTAGAGAGAAATGCAAGGATCCTGTCTTTCTTTTCCTGCACAACAGTTTTCCTGTTTAGTTTTTACCAGTTCTTCTTTTGAAATAGAAGTTTGCAATCACATTAATGACTTTGGGGCACTTTAGAGGGGTGTGTCAAGGACTTGAATGGTGTTTACCATGTTTAATATGGTAGATTACTATTTGTATGTTGTTTTCTTTCTCTAACATCTTCACATACTTGTTTCAATTGCCCCATGTTGGTTAGGATTTGGTTTGCCTCAGGGTCCCAGAGCTACCCATTTTAAAGATTCTTACACAGGTCATTTGTTTTTCTCTCATGCAAGAATCCTTGTAAGGCTCTGTATGAGTTTCCTGGGGTTGCGGTTCAAAAGTATCACAAACCAGGTGGCTTAAAACCACAGGAATGTATTGTTTCACAGTCCTAGAGGCTATAAGTCTGAAATCAAGGTGTTAGCAGGGTCAGGATCCCTCTGAATCTGATAAGGAAGCATCCTTTCTTGCCTCTGTCACCTTTTGAAGGTTACAGGCAAACCTTGGTGTTCCTTGGTTTGTAACTGCCATCGCCCCAGCCTCTGTCTCCATCATCGGGTAGCTGTTTTTTTTGTGTCTGTGTATCTGTCTCTGCATCTCTCATAAGAGCACCAGTCATATTGGATTCAGGGCCCACCCTACTCTACTGTGGTCTCACCTTAATTGATTACATCCACAGCAACCCTATTTCCAAATAAAGTCATGCTGAGAGGTAACAGGGGTTAGGGCTTCAGTATATAAGTCTCATGGTTAGTGTGAACCTCCGTGGTGTTGGGACCCAGACAGACTCTTCCTCTCTTGTTATGTTACTCCACTGCATGTGACCTTGACCCCACTGGCAGCCTCCAAGCCCCAGACCGTGGGGTGGAGGAAGGTCCTGGTTGCTGTCACTCCCCACTGCCCTGGATTTAGTCACGGGGCTGCTCCTATCTGCTCAGGAGTCTAGAAACAGAGGGCCTGCTTCCAGGCTGCCACATGTTGGCTAAAATCCGGGGTTTGTTACTTCAGAAGAAAGAGAGCAGATTTTGAGGACAGCCAGCAATCTCTGCCTCACAGAAACTTACAGTCTCTCTTAAGTCTGTCCCCTTACAATTTTTGGGGAACCTGGGGAGTAGGAGTGGTATAAGTTGTTTGTTCAATTTCTCTACCACTCTAGTTTTTCTCATTGAATTATGTCTAGCATTTGCAAAGCAAGAAGGAGTTTTCTTTTATGTGTCTGTCAGCTTTATAGTGGTTCACTGGGCTTTGTTTTATTCAGCTAAATTGTATCAATTAGCTGCTAAGTGGTGTGGAAAATAACAAGTGAGAGGTGTGACCATTCCTGCTGTGGAGGAGAGAGGGCATCCACTAAGGAGAAGAGACAGTGATTGTGAAAAGATGCTTGTGAAATATTTTTTAAGGCATAGGAACTTTTGGGTGATGACTTAAATGATAGCTATTGACAAGCAGTGATATGGATTTAACACACATGAGGGAGAAAGCAGAGTATACAGGCTTTATGTATGTATACTGTGGTACTAGAGGAGTCTTGGACAGCAAGGAGGTCAAACCAGTCAATCTTAAAGGAAATCAACCCTGAATACTTATTGGAAGGACTGATGCTGAAGCTCCAGTATTTTGGTCACCTGAGGCAGACAGCCAACTCATTGGAAAAGTCCCTGAGGCTGGGAAAGATTGAAGGCAGAAGGATAAGAGTGTCTCAGAGGATGAGATGGGTAGATGGCATCACCGATGCGATGGACATGAACTTGGGCAGACTTCAGAAGATGGTGAGGGACAGGGAAGCCTGGCGAGCTGCAGTCTATGGGGTCGCACAGAGTTGAACATGACTGGGTGACTGAACAATATACTATATTATACATCACTATACTATTTTATATACTTATATGTACCATATATTATAATAATAGTATATTGCATACTATATATTATTTAATATTTCTCAGGTGAAATAAGACTTAGTAAAATACAGTTGTAAAATGATAGGTAGATAAAAATGATAGGTAAAATAAGTGATAGGCAAAATAAAACTTTTTATTGCAAATTCCAAGGAAACAGTTGTTTTGCTTACCCTTTGTTCTTGCAGTATAAACAATCTATGTTTTTCCTTTTTCTGTAGAACTTTCTGTTACTTGATGAGATATCACAGTGCTACCCTCAGCTGCCATCAGATGGCGAAATGATAGTGGATGTGCAAGACTTTACAGCTTTTTGGGAAAAGGTAAGAAACCCATTCCAAAACTGTGACCGCTAAAAGACAATGGTGACATAGATTTTTTGGAGAATTTTGAGATTTTACATATATTGTAATATGTCACTTGCCCATTCACTGAAAATATGTTATGAAGATTCTCAGAATCAGGAATAAGGTTTGTACTGGTGATTAAGTATAAAATCAGCCTGAGGTATTTGACATGTTGCTCTTTATCTCATTTTCAAAACAGCTTTCAAAGTATTAGCACGTGTTGAACTGAAAGTACATAAATTATTTTTTAAAAATTTTAGTTTATTTTTCATTATGTTTTACTACAGAATATTAAATGTAATTCCCTGTGCTATACAATAGGATCTCCTTAAACAAAAGATACAGAGCATAAATACATCTTTTCTTGAAAACCCAAATCTAATATTTTGGGCATCAATGGTTTAACTCTTTTTATACTTTGGGATTATTTATGGTTATAAAGTACATAAATTAGAATTTGAAGGATTAGACAGACAAAATACTGCAGTATTGAGTGGGTTAACTAACAAATATATAACCAGTCATTATAGATTAGAGGCTTTAAGGAATCAGCGTATTCCTCAAATTTTTTGCCCTGATGTTCTTATTATACACTGAGTGAGGCCGTGATTTGGATCTTTGCTGTGGGGTAGGGTGGGCCTTCCCCATCCTGAGCTTCTGGATGGTTCTGGCTACTTTGGTGGCTGCCAGAGACAGGAGGAGACAGCATGTGGGCATCGTCAGCACCAGTGATCCTCAGTTGAAGGACTGTACTATGTGGCAAGCTGACAGGGAGAACTGATGATTTTCCAATACCCATCATCAAAACAGTAGTATGTTCCCAAATATATAAGATCACATCCCGGTATCTTTTGTATATGGAAAGTCACACAGGGTTCCTTACCTACCCTGACAGCTTTTCCTACCTTAATATACCATACACCTGCATGGTATTTTTCATCATAATATACTTGAAGCATATATGGAAAGCACCATTAAAATTTCATTATAAGGGTCACTATGTGAATGCTTCACACAAGGTATCCGAAGTATTGGAGTTTCACCTTCAACATCAGTCCTTCCAATGAACACCCAGGACTGATCTCCTTTAGGATGGACTGGTTGGATCTTGTTGCAGTCCAAGGGACTCTCAAGTCTTGTCTCCTCCAACACCACAGTTCAAAAGTATTAATTCTTTGGCACTCAGCTTTCTTCATAGTCCAACTCTCACATCCATACATGACCACTGGAAAACCATAGCCTTGACTAGATGGACCTTTGTTGGCAAAGTAATGTCTCTGCTTTTTAATATGCTATCTAAGTTATGCCTAGATTGGTCATAACTTTCCTTCCAAGGAGTAAGTGTCTTTTAATTTCATGGCTGCAATCACCATCTGCAGTGATTTTGGAGCCCCCCAAAAATAAAGTCAGACACTGTTTCCACTGTTTCCCCATCTATTTCCCATGAAGTGATGGGACCAGATGCCATGATCTTAGTTTTCTGAATGTTGAGCTTTAAGCCAACATTTTCCTTCTCCTCTTTAACTTTCATCAAAAGGCTTTTTAGTTCCTCTTCACTTTCTGCCATAAGGGTGGTGTCATCTGCATATGTGAGGTTATTGATATTTCTCCTGGCAATCTTGATTCCAGCTTGTGCTTCTTCCAGCCCAGCGTTTCTCATGATGTACTCTGCGTATAAGTTAAATAAGCAGGGTGACAACATGCAGCCTTGATGTACTCCTTTTCCTATTTGGAACCAGTCTGTTGTTCCATGTCCAGTTCTAACTGCTGCTTCTTGACCTGCATACAGGTTTCTCAAGAGGCAGATCATGTGGTCTGGTAATCCCATCTCTTTCAGAATTTTCCACAGTTTATAGTGATCCATGCAGTCAAAGGCTTTGGCATAGTCAATACAGCAGAAAGAGATGTTTTTCTGGAACTCTCTTGCTTTTTCGATGATCCAGAGGATGTTGGCAATTTGATCTCTGGTTCCTCTGCCTTTTCTAAAACCAGCTTGAACATCTAGAAGTTCAGGGTTCACATTTTGCTGAAGCCTGGCTTGGAGAATTACTAGCTTCTGAGATGAGTACAATTGTGTGGTAGTTCGAGCATTGTTTCGCATTGCCTTTCTTTGAGATTGGAATGAAAACTGACCTTTTCCAGTCCTGTGGTCACTGCTGAGTTTTCCCAATTTGCTGGCATATTGAGTGCAGCACTTTCACAGCATCATTTTTCAGGATTTGAAATAGCTCAACTGGAATTCCTTCACCTCCACTAGCTTTGTTCGTAGTGATGCTTTATAATGCCCACTTGACTTCACATTCCAGGATGTCTGGCTCTAGGTGAGTGATCACACCATCGTAATTATCTGGGTCATGAAGATCTTTTTTGTACAGTTCTTCTGTGTATTCTTGCCATGTCTTCTTGATATCTTCTGCTTCTGTTAGGACCATACCATTTTTGTCCTTTATCGAGCCCATCTTTGCATGAAATGTTCCCTTGGTATCTCTAATTTCCTTGAATGGGTGCAGGAGGAGAAGGCGGTGACAGAGGATGAGATGGCTGGATGGCATCACTGACTTGATGGACATGAGTTTAGGTAAACTCTGGGAGTTGGTGATGGACAGGGAGGCCTGGCGTGCTGCGATTCATGGGTTTGCAGAGTCGGACATGACTGAACGACTGAACTGAACTGATGTGAATGCTAATGTTACCAAATTTCTCTTGTATGAAACTGTGCAGCATTTTAAAATGAACTGTTTTGTTCTTTTTTCAAAGCAGTTAATAGCATGTTCTGATACTTCTGTGCAATTTGCATGAGTACTGAACAGCCTATTCTGTCATCCTGGTCTTGCCTATGAAAGGAACATGTCCCTTCCTGGGGTCATTAGTAATTAGGGGCTGTCAAGTTAGGTTATGGGTTAGGGAGAGGGGGGCAGAAAGAGAGAGAGAGAGAGAGAGAGAGAGACTTTGGGAGGGGGAGGGGAAAATATATTGGGAGTTTTGGAGAGAAGCTGAGTCTGAATGAAGCCTCTTCTGGGTTGGGAGGCAGGAGATAGACATGAGCTCTGTAACCTGCTTCCCTAAAGAGCCAGGTGGGCTGGTGGGGGAAGGTCTCAGGGACTCAGGTCTCATTCATGAAATGGTGGGACTTTGTCTCAGTCTTTTTCTGTTTGTTTGTAGAGCTGGAATGTAAACCCATCTAAATTTATTTAATTCTGATTCTTAAATTCTTACTTTTAACACTCTCTTTACAAGGTAAAGAAACAATTTACAGTATAATATTAAATATTATGGAATATTGTTACTTGTAAAAATTTATTTAAATTAATTTATTTTAATTGGAGGCTAATTAGTTTACAATATTGTGGTGGTTTTTGTCAAACATTGACATGATTCAGCCATGGGTGTACATGTATCCCCGCATCCTAAACCCCCTTCCCTACCCCATCCTTCTGGGTTGTCCCAGAGCACCAGCTTTGAGTTTTAAAATAAGTAGCCTTATGGCAGCTTCCAGATTCATGAGGCAAGGGTTTTGAACTGTGTTTGGCCCAGAGTGGGGACTCAGCTGATGATCCTTGATGAATCATTATGCTCTGAGCCCTGTTAAATCATTATTCCTGAACCCTAATAAGGGAGAGGCAGATCCTGAGAACCCCTGGGCTGTCAAGTGCTGCCCCCTTCTGGTCGTAGCAGAGCAGTGCCCAACCCTGAAGCCTGAACAGGGTGTGGACCCCTCTGGCCCGGACAGACTGTAGGGCCTGTGACAGGAGCTGGCATGGGTCATTATCTGTGTGTGGATCATTGTTTTGTTTTCATAACCGAGTACAAAGTAGTAAAATAGGAACCCTAGGTGTCAGATAAGAATAAAGGAGTAGATATGCTAAAAAATGTTTCTCACATATTAAAATCTAGCTTCTTGCTAGTTCTTGTAATTCCTATAAAATATGGGGCTAGTTTTTTGACGATTCAAAGTAACTGTTGTTGCTTTAGAGGTGACTGTTCCATAATTGGTTTAGTTATTTCCAGAGAAACTTTTCATGTAGGTTTTCCAGACCTTTTTATCCAGTCCTTGTGTTTTTAGTTCTTTTAGGCATTTTACTAATCACACATAAGCACTTTTAAAAAAAATATTAGCTTATTGATCTCAACAGTATACATAAAGACACATGCACCCTTAAGCCTCTCTACCTTAGAACTTAACAGATTGTGCAGTAATCTGACTTGTGACTGAAATGATGTGATTTCTGTCCTTCTCCCTTGAGTTGGATTGTACATGCAACAAACAGCACAGCTCCAGGTTTTGTTGTTGTTGTCCTCCCTGTTTTGTCAGGACAAGAAATGCATGTAACATGCATAAAATTGAGGCTTTATCACTCGACCCATGATGTCATACTTAATTTCTTCATTCCCCGTGTTTTGTTGTTGTGCTGCTGCTTTTGTTGTTCAGTCACTAAGTCATTTACGACTCTTTGTGACCCCATGGACTGCAGCATGCCAGGCTTCCCCCTCCTTCACTGTCTTCTGGAATTGTCTCAAATTCATGTTCATTGACTCAGGGATGCCATCCAACCATTTCATCCTCTGTTGCTTACTTCTCCTCCTGCCTTCAATCTTTCCCAGCATCAGGGTCTTTTCAAATGAGTCAGTTCTTTGCACCAGGTGGCCAAAGTATTGGAGTTTCAGCTTCAGCATCAGTCCTTCCACTCAATACTCAGGGTTTGATCTCCTTGCAGTCCGAGGGACTCTCAAGAGTCTTCTCCAGCACTACAGTTCCAAAGCATCAATTTTTCAGTGCTCAGCCTTTTTTATGGTCCAACTCTCACATCCGTACATGACTACTGGAAAAACCATAACTTGGACTATATGTACAATTGTTGGCAAAGTGATGTCTCTGCTTTTTAATATGCTGTCTAGGTTTGTCATAGCTTTTCTTCCAAGGAGCAAGCATCTTTGAATTTCATGGCTGCAGTCACCATCTGCAGTGATTTTAGAGCCCAAGAAAATAAAATCTGTCACTGTTTCCACTTTTTTCCCTTCTATTTGCCATGAAGTGATGGGACCACATGCCTTGATCTTTGTTTTTTGAATGTTGAGTTTTAAGCCAGCTTTTTTCACTCTTCTCTTTCACTCTCTGCCAGAGGCTCTTTAGTTCCTTTTCACTTTCTGCCGTAACGGTGGTGTCATGTGCATATCTGAGGTTGTTTTACTCCTTTCCCAATTTTGAATCAGTCCATTGTTCCATGTCTGCTTCTAACTGTTGCTTCTTGACTTCCTACAAGTTTCTCAGGAGACAGGTAAAGTGGTGTGGTATTCCCATCTCCTTAAGATTATTTCACAGTTTGTTGTGATCCACACAGTCAAAGCCTTTAGCATAGTCAGTGAAGCAGAAGTAGATGTTGTTATGAAATTCCCTTCCTTTTTCTATGATCCAGCAGATGTTGGCAATTTGGTCTTTGGTTCCTCTGCCTTTTCTAAATCTAGCTTGTACATTTGGAAGTTCTCAGTTCACATACCATTGAAGCCTAGCTTGAAGGATTTTGAACATTACCTTGCTAGGATGTAAACTGAGCACAATTGTACAGTAGTTTGAATATTCTTCTAGCTGTATGGAATTCTAGTAAAAGAAAGAATCTTCTTAAAGTCACCTAAAACTGCCTCAAACCCCTAAAGAGATAAGATTGGACAAAGAGGCCTCTAGGACATAGTATTTTAAAATAGGAAAGAGAAAAATGTGGGTTATGTTTGCATATCAATTTTGTTGACTATTGCTATCTTTTCCACTTTATAAAACAATTTGTATTATTTTATTGAAATGGGTACATTTTTATTAACTTTAATTTTCAGGAATCAGGAACCCCAACCCTACAAGGCCTTTCATTTACTGTCAGACCTGGTGAATTGTTAGCTGTGATTGGACCTGTGGGAACAGGAAAGGTAAATTATGATGCCTTTTGGCAACTTGATGCAATGCTGCAGGCCCTGTTAAATTCTCACAGTGGAGCTCAGAGCTGAGTGTGCCTCAGTTTGAGCTGGGTGTATCTAAAACAGTGTTTCTCTAGGTGTGTTCCATGGAACATTAGTTTTGCAAGAAGGTTTCATGGCTGAATACTTCAGGATAAATGCACACTGTGTTTTCCTTCTTTGTGTTTCACATTGCTCAGTTGGGAATCAATTGTCAGAAATTTGGATGCCTCAGTGAAGGAAACTATCTATATGGCAGCTGTTTGGGATGGACGGAGACAATGCAGTCTTCTTTTTGTCACAGGAGCCCCTCCAGGAAGTCTGGAGGTTGTGAAAACTTTTCCTGGGAGCTTTGAGCATTTCCTCATGTGACTTGACTTGATCTAATCAGTGCACGTGTAGTGAAGGTGCAGCCATGTGCTGGAGCTCACAGATGTGAGCAAGACCCCAACATCTCTGCCTTTCAAAGGCAACTAGGTTCCAGAGTGAGACAGATATGTAGGCAGATTATTTCAGCCCAGTATGGTGAGCACTCTGATGGTGTGGGATACAGACATGCCATGTTTTGTGATGTTGCAAGATTTAAAGGAAATGTGCACATGCACTTGGTCTAAAACAACAAAATACAGAAATCTAAATGTGGGATGTGGGCTTCCCTGGTGGTAAAAGAATCCACTTGCCAATGCAGGAGACACAGATTTGATCCCTGGTCTGGGAAGATCCCACATGCTGTGAAGCAGCTAATCCCATGCACCATAACTGTTGGGCCTGTGCTCTAGAGGCTGGGAGCTGCATCTACTGAGCCCGTGGGCTGCAACTGCTGAAGCCTGCCCACTAGAGCCTGTGCTCTGCAATAAGGGAAGCCACCCCAATTAGAAGCCTGAGTATTGGAAAGAAGACCCAGCACAACCAAAAATAAATAAAATTAAAATTGTATGGCAGAAAACAATACAACATCATAAAAATAAAAGAACTAAAATTAAATAAAATTATTTTAAAAAGTCAGTGTGGGATGTGCACATGAAAGTGTGCTGATTTCCTCTATGATGGACTTTTGCTCTTCAGGTACAACTCACTTCAGAGTTCTTTCAATTAGTCATCTTTGAATACATTTTTCACACATAGCTTTTTAAGAGCAAGTGTTTGTCAAGTAAAGGATAGCCAGATACAGAAGCAACTGCATTAAGCATCAGATATAGAAAATATACATCTTGCTTGGCTGCTCTGCTAGAGAAGGATATTAACATTCTTAATTATTCTTTGCTGAGTAGAACTTCATTTGGGGGATACTTGGGCAGAGTAGATTGTATATACTATACTAATAATATACTATTAATATTCCCTACCAGTCATTGTTTTCTTTGACCATTAGTGTTATTTTCAGTTTCTCTTGTCCCAACTGCCAAAGCTGTCATTTATCCTGTTCCAGTATCCTTGATCAAGCACCAGGGTGGGGACTGTGCTGCAGGGCGTGTTCCGTCCTGAGTGCTGCCTGTTCACATGTGTGTGTTGCCGTCTATTTCAGTCATCACTGCTGAGCGCTGTGCTAGGGGAGCTGCCCCCAAGCCAAGGGAAGGTCAGCGTACACGGGAGGATCGCGTATGTTTCTCAGCAGCCCTGGCTGTTCTCAGGAACTGTGAGGAGTAACATTTTATTTGGGAAGAAATATGAAAAAGAGCGATATGAAAAAGTAATAAAGGCTTGTGCTTTGGAAGAGGTGAGTAATGACTTTTGAGCCGCATATACTGGAATTTCAAGTAATGATAGTGTTGGTTTAAATTTCAAGGTTTGTTTAAAGTTCTTTTTTTTAAAAAAAAAAAGGAAAGATTTTTGAATGTTGCTTAATATTATAAGCTGATCTTATGGGTAAATAAGCAGGCATATATCTATATGCTGCTGCTTTAATCCTTATGGGATAATGATACAGAATACCTTTTCTGGAGGGGAAGGTTGTTTCATTCTGTTAAATTTCATTCCCTTTTAACTTTTTTTTTTCCCCCTTTTAACTTTTTAAATGGACAGTTACAAAAATTTGCAAAGTTAGAAAACACAGTGTAATGAACCCTCAAGTACCCACTCCCAGCTTCAGCCAGAATCAGCTGGTGGCCAGTCTTGCTGCATCTCTACCCCTGCGCCCTGCCAGCCCCACCCCCACCCCAGATTATTCTGGAGCAGATTCTAGAGCTCAGATTAGTTTATCTGGAAACATTTCATCCCACACTTGCACACTTGGGCACCTTCTCTGCCTAACTCCAAGGGCATCACGTACATTGTGCTCTAGGAGTGACGTGTGTGTGCTAAGTCGCTTTAGTCATGTCTGACTCTTTGTGACTCCATGGACTGCAGCCCACCAGGCTCCACTGTCCATGAGATTCTTCAGGCAAAGATACTAGAGTTGCTTGCCATGCCCTCTTCCAGGGGATTTTCCTGAGCCAGATATTGAACTCACATTTCTATGTCTCCTGCACTGTCAGGTGGATTCTTTACCATTAGTGCTACCTTGGAAGCCCAGTCTGTGTTTACAGGTTGTTGATCATCTCACTGAGAAATCTCCTTCACCACTGTTTGAACCCACATAAGGTCTGCCCCCTGCACTTGGCTGATGACTCTTTGGTCCCTTGCAGTCTGTGGGTTTCTCTCACCACTTCATTTTTGACTTGTAATTTATTATTTAAGGAAATCATAATGCTTTGAAATTTCTTTTTAATACTGTGTCATTTCACCAAGGGAGAGATTATTTTCAGAAATGGCACTGAGTTTCACAGAAAATGGCAAGTTGAAAGGCTTAACTGTACATTGGGATTTAAATGAAATTAGTGAATAAATTATGAGAACTAAACTGATAGGAGAATACAGAATACAATTTTGCAAAAAGAAAGGGAAAAAAAGGAAAATAACATTAAATACTATGTAACTCTCTTGGGTTATAAAAACCAGTGAATAATAGTATTAAAGGGCTCCCCCTACCCCCACCCCTGGGGTCTGTTCAGTGCAGTCTGGACATCCCACTATTCTTTTGCACTGTGAGGAAAAGGCAGGGACAGACTTTCAAAGGTCTGTGTGGAGCAGCCTCTCCAGGTCTGCCTGAGCTCCTCCCCACAGGTCTGCTCACACCCTCTCTGAGCAGAGCCCTCCGACCCCAGTGTGGATTCACTTCCCTCCTTTAGTCTTCATCCCCCTGAGCTGGTTTCCTTTTCCTTCTTGTCCTCAGTACTTGTGCTCAGGTAATTTTCCATACTGTCCATCTTCCATCATGGAAAGAAACTCTATGAGCTTTGTTTCCTCAAAACTGAATTCACTGTGCCCACAGCAATGCCTGTCATACAGTAAGTCCTCAATAAATATTTGTTAAAATGTTCCAATGCATAGCTGCTGTGAAAAACGACAGAATGGCTTGTTTAATGTTCATGGTTACAATTTAGTCACTATGATATATACCCACTGCTGTGACTTCCCAGGTGATTCGGTGATAAAGAATTCTGCCAGTGCTGGAGATACAAGAGATATAGATTCAGCCCCTGGGTTGGGATGATCTCCTGGAGAAGGAAATGGCAACCCTCTCCAGTATTTTTGCCCAGAAAATCCCATGGACAGAGGAGCCTGACTGGCTACAGTCCATGGGGCAGGAAAGAGTCATTTATGACTGAGCAACTGCGCATGCCTGCATGTTGATTAAATACTTGTATGAAGAACTAATGCTAAAAGTTTAAGATGGTAGTAGAATTCACATTTTAAATCTTTTATTTTTCCCCCTTTTCTATCTCCGTATAGGATTTACAGTCTTTTGAGGATAGAGATCTAACTGAGATAGGAGACAGAGGAACCACACTGAGTGGAGGGCAGAAAGCCCGGATCAACCTTGCAAGGTAAATGGGGTTTAAGTTGCCTTCCTGCCCCTCCTCCTCTGCGGCTCCTTGTGAACATGAGCACACACATCCCGCTCACCAGGTGGGCCTGTGTGAAGCAGGGTCTTAGTCTTTTCCCTGGGCTCCTGGAATGAACCTGGAGCTGCTGGACGCCGCCATGATTCAGAGATGAGACCCAGGGGGTGTGAAATGTCCTCTCCTGATGTCTCTCTACATTTTCTAGAGCCGTGTATCAGGACGCAGACATCTACCTCCTAGACGATCCGCTCAGCGCAGTGGATGCAGAAGTCAGCAGACACTTGTTTGAACAGTGAGTTTGCTCCTGTTTTCTGTCATTTCTTCTTTCCAAGAACCGCATAGAGATCAGGGAAGAGAGCTCAAGAAATACTCTGTGCTTCAGGAGACTCAGCTTACTTTGCCCTGGTGTTCCTCTCTCCCTTCCCTTCCTTCCACAGAAGATCCATCATAGAGAAACCTTGCATCATGATGAAGTCAGGACAGGAACATACAGAAGGTGCTTCTAGTGTATGGAAGACAGTGGGGTCTGTGCTTTAGGGAGTGAGGGATAGATGGGAGATTTACCCCTGTGACTGGCAGTTGATAACAGACACTGTGGATGGACCCAGACCCCAGGAAGAAGAAAGATGATGTACACTTTTTAAATCAGAGAGTAGGACTTGGTAACCTGGTACTTGACTGCTGGTTCTTTTCCTCCATTATTTGTTAAAGGCACATTAGAAGCCAAGTTTTTGGTACTAACATAGGGCTTCCGTGGAAAGACCTTGTTGGTTTATGCTTATTATTCTATCAGTTTGGAAATAAAATCTTTAGTAAGTCTAGACTTAATAAAATCTTAATAGAATTTGAGAATGATTTATTCCACATCTTAATATGATTTCGATCATTTCACATTGCTTCATGGATGCTTACTAGAATTAATATTTAGATCCACAATGTAGGGTCAACTTGAATTTAAAAAAGGTATCTATAATCTGGCTTAAGTCTTAACTCTCATTCCTGTTTCTGGAATTTAGAACTTGTTGTCAGTGGCTCTTGGTTGGCCACACAGTGAATAATGTAAAACAACTCGGATGCTTTTCTATGTAAAATGTGTCCTTAACCCACACTGACTAAGGCCTCCTGTGGAGTCTAGACTGGCCTTTTTGAAAGCTTTGTGAGCTTGTTTTTTTCCTAAAACATCTCAACATCTTCCGCATGGTTAGTTCCCTTGCTGTTGTTCACCTCCTTAAAGCCAACAAGCCTTCCAGCTGCACTTATTAATGTCCTGCTGTGTGCACTGAGATTGATGCCCTTACAGATGTCCCTGCACAAAACCTCTTAGTTTACAAAGAGAACGGTCAGCCAGGAGAGGGGAAGGACCCCCAGTAGGCAGAATAAGGGATGCCCAGCTCTCATTCCTGCCTCTGAGGAACATGTCTCTACATGGAGCTTGTTAAAAGAGATGCCTGGGAAAAGGTCAGCAGAGTCAGGATTTAGAGGATTTTTATGCAGGATAAGAAATGCTAAATGAAAGCAGAAGTGTCAGCTGGAGGCTTTCACTGAAGTTGGAAAGCTCTCTGTGCCCAGAGCTGGGCGGGCGGTGCCCCAGGGGCCTGCAGGCTGGGCAGGTGTGTGGAGGCTGAGAAGAGGACCCGGTTCTTTCACTGAAGGAAGAGTAGAAGCACAGGTGTGGAGGGAGAAGGAAGCAGGGCTGTGAGGAGGACAGCAGGCACGTCCTTGCCCGGAGGAGGTGAGTTGTTTGCCCCAGAGAAGCTGTTTGGAAATTCTCTCTCTCAGGTCCTGTGTTAGTTTGCTGGGGTTGTGTCCATCTAGGCTGCTCTCACAGAAGACCAGAACCTAAGCGCCTTAGAAGTAACAGTTTATTTCTCTCCGTTGTAGAGGCTGGGAAAGCCCAAATTCAGGGTGCTGACAGATTCAGCATCTGGTAAGGGCATGATTCCTGTGTCCTCATGTGGGGAAGGGGTGAGGGAGCCGTGTAGTCCCTTTTATAAGGACACTAATCCCATTCATGCAGGCTCCACCCTCATGACCTGGTCACCTCCCAACTGTCCCATTTCCAGGACCTTCACAGTGGGGATTAGGTTTCAGCAAATGAATATTAAGGACACAATGCCTAATCTGTAGCATGCTGTCATGGATGGGGTGTGGGAGGGTTTAAACAATGGCAATTAATTTTCTCACAGTTCTTGAGGCTGGATGCTCAGGCTCAAGGTGTTGTGGGCAGGTTCAGTTTCTTCTGAGACCTCTGTCCTTGGCTCCTGACAGAATCCTTGCTGTATCCTCATATGGTCTTTCCTCTGTTCACCTGTATCCTCGAGTCTCTGTGCTTATGTCTTAGTTTCCTCTTTCTAAGGACACTTGTCAGAGTGCATCTGGCCCAACCTAATTAAGGGTAACTTAATTACTTCTTTAAAGTCTGTCACCAAATTCTAAAGTATTAATGACTACCTTACTGATGACTAACATGTTATGTTAACATGTTTAATTTGGGGGCAGCATGATTGATATACAGCAGATCCAGAATGGCAAAGTGAAGAGACTTCAACAGAGTCAGCAGTTGTGAGAGGGAAATGTATGAGGAACTCTGAGCTCTGGACACAAAGAGCTGGGATTCCACATCCACTGTGTGGGTTCGGCTTCCACCAAAATCTGTCTGTAACTTGTGCTTAGTGTTGGGGTGATGAAAGAGCTCTGCAGACGGATGATGGTAACAGCCACACAACCACGTGGATGTACTTAAGACTGTTGAACCATATACCTAAAAATGGTAAACTCCATGTTATATTTTACCACAATAAAAAAAAGTGCAAAGTGGCATTGATTCTTTCAGAACACAAGAGAGCAAGGCAGCTGACATGTGGCAGGGCCTCCAGTTCTCTGATCTTGACCTCCCTTTCCCACCCTCTCCTGATCATGACTTGGTGAATTTTCCCATGGAAAAATGCCTTGTGGCTTGTCATGAGTTCAGTGACAGGTGTTAATGCTGTGACAGGGATTCCCCACCCCTGTCCTCCTGGCATCATGAGGATTTTCCTAGAGATTTGGGTAAAAAAGCACTATTTGGGAAAAATTCAGGGCCATCAACTGATAACTTCATTGTAATGATTTGTATCACTTCAACCATGGTGGAATGTTAGGAAGAAACCATTTTACAACTTTTGAGTTGGTCTTTCTTGGACATGGGCTTCCTGGTAGTTCAGCATTAAATAATCTGCCTACAATGCAAGAAACTCATCAGACTCAGGTTCTACCCCTTGGTCAGGGTCGGGAAGATTGCCTGGAGGAGGGCGTGTCAATCCATCCAATATTCTTGCCTGGAGAATCCCATGGATAGAGGAGTCTAGTGGGCTACAGCCCATGCAGTTGCAAAGTCTGATGTGACTGAAGTGACTAAGCACGCAGATTATCTTGGACAGAGCAGCCCACTAGGTTTGATTAAAATCCACTTTCAGGGATTGTTGGCAGATACTTTTATATTAAGGAGAAGCAATTTCACTTTTAAAAGCTTTAGTACTAAGTCTGAAGAGAGATTTACTCAGTCAGAGGTCTTAGGTACAAATATTGAACTCAGACATGTCAAAAGGAAAAAATGAATTCTTTTGGACGTAATGAGGTATATGTGTTAACATCCCGGTCTTTTGCTTCTGATCATAGATCCAATGTCCAGAGTGTCCCCTTGTGAATTTTGGATTGACATGTACACACTATTATATTTAAAATACATACTCAACAAGGACCTACTATGTTCTCTATAGCAGGGAACACTGCTCAGTACTCTACAATAACATAAATGGGGAAAGTATTTGAAAAAGAATAGATACATGTGTAGGTATAACTGAATCACTTTGCTGTACACCTGAAGCTAACACATTGTAAGTCAACTATAATATAAAATACAAATTTTTTAAAAAATACAAAGAAAAAAAGCCCAAAGTATCCTTTTGAGACTTTTCTTCCTGAATCCAAAGCACATGACCACTTGTGGTTAGGGAGGACTGGAGAAGGGAGCTGACATTTACTGAGTGAATTGGTGGTTTGATTTCTCAGAATGTGTGGATGAGTCATCACTGACCTTGTTCTGAGATGAAGAAACTGAGGTTTATTTACTTGTCATCGTCTGGCTTGTGAGAGGGACTGAGCTGCAGTCCGCTGCCTCCAGACTCTCCACGTGACTCAGTCAGCAGGCTGAACTCCGGTCCATGTTCCTGAGATTTGCTCTGTGAGGAGCTTAGGCTCCCAAAGTATCTGCGTGGAACCCCGTCTGTGGCCACTGGAGCCCCAGACTTAGCCACTCGCTTCCCTGGAGGAGTTGTAAACCCTGTGAGATGAGACTGGGGCTGAGTCCCTAGGGGGTCTGCATTTAAAATGGAGGAGCAGATTGAGGGATTAACAAGGTTGGGCTTCACTGGTGGCTTAGATGGTAGAGAATCTGCCCACAGTGCAGGAGACCTGGGTTAAATCCCCTGAAGTAGGAAATGGCAACCCACTCCAGTATTCTTACCTGGAAACTTCCATGGATAGAGGAAGTTGGCAAGGTATAGTCCATGAGGTCACAGAGAGTCAGTCACGACTGAGTGACTAACACTTTCTCAAGTGAAAGTGAGGAAAGTGAGGGGGATTGTTGGGTTGCACCCTGCTGACCTTCTAGGCCTGTGCTTGCCCAGCTAGACTGAAGAAGGAGTGCGGAGTCAACAGCAGAGACAAAAATGGTTTAATGACTAGGGGGAGCTTCCATGTCTGAAGCAAGAACCTAACCAGCACCCCACTGTGTGCGGTGGGCAGCAGGGCAGGACATAGCAGCAGTCTGTGCTCCTAGTGGGGGAGGGAAGATTACTAGTTACAGGGGAATTGACATCAGATTGGCTCTTCTCTTACGATGGAAACCAACAGAGGGTCATGCTCTTCCAGCCCCTTTAATAAGAATAGTAGAGAGTTCTGATATAAAGCTAGAATAGTCATTAGCTAGGCTCTGGGGCAAGTATGTAGAAAGGTCAGTCATGTGAGTAGGTATAGGTGAAGCAGGCACCAGGTCAAGCAGGAGATGTACAGAAAGCAAGAGAGCAGCCATCTTGGGTAACCTGTTCATACACATGTCTTGGCTATAGAGAATTGGTGTGTCTTCTGAGCTGTTGGATGATTCCCGCTGTGATTTGGATTCTATTCTTTCATTTTTATATTTGTAAGGTGTCCATTCCTAATGAAAAAAAATACTTGCTTCCTGTGTGGGACTGGGATATTACAGAGACTGATGGAGGCAATGTTAGATTTCTTTTTTTATCTGATACTATTTGGGAAGAAGTGTCTAGAAAATGTACTCTGGCAAAGGTTACCAAAAATCTGTCAGTTTTTTTGTTGTTAATATATGTCATCTATCATAAATAATCACCTTGAAAACTATCTAAGAAAAATGTACACATTTTATATGACATGAATCTTTCTCTCATTCCCACATAGTAGTAAGATAATGTTTTAGTTCAGTCAAGATTTGGAATATCAGTGTTGCTTAATTGTTTCCCGTTATGAAACATGTAAGTAATTGTTAAGCTGAGTTTTTGAAAGAAAAAAATAATTTAGCTATTGATGCCTCTTTCACTGGAATATGTTTTAGAATTTTTTGGCAGAGCAAGATTCAAATTTGCCACTGATGAATTTCAGGGCCTTGTGAGAATCGTTGACTTGTATTAGGTTGGTGCAAATGTAATTTTGGTTTCAGACCATGAATTTGAAATCATTATGACAAGGCTCAAACACATCTTAATTAATCAAAATTAGGGGCTGTTACAATCAACATCTTTGCAGCCAAAGATGGAGAAGCTCTATACAGTCAGCAAAAAAAAGGCTGGGAACTTACTGTGGCTCAGATCATGAACTCCTTATTGCAAAATTCAGACTTAAATTGAAGAAAGTAGGGAAAACCACTAGACCATTCAGATGTGACCTAAATCAAATCCCTTATGATTATACAGTAGAACTGGCAAATAGATTCAATGAATTAGATATGATAGAGTGCCTGAAGAACTATGGACGAAGGATTGTAACATTGTATAGGAGGTGGTGATCAAAACTATCCCAAAGAAAACAAAATGCAAAAAGGCAAAATTGTTGTCTGAGAAGGGCTTACAAATAGCTGAGAAAAGAAGAGAAGTGAAAGGCAAAGGAGAAAAGGAAAGATACACCAATCTGAATGCAGAGTTCCAGAGAATAAATAGCACAGAGAGATAAGAAAGCCTTCCTCAGCTATCAGTGCAAAGAAATAGAGGAAAACAATAGAATGGGAGAGACTAGAGATCTCCTCAAGAAAATTAGAGATTCCAAAGGAACATTTAATGCAAAGATGGGTACAATAAAGGACAGAAATGGTGTGGACCTAACAGAAGCAGAATATATTAAGAAGAGGTGGCAAGAATACACTGAAGAACTGTACAAAAAAGATCTTAACGACCCAGATAGCCATGGTGGTGTCATCACTCACCTAGAGCCAGACATCCTGGATTGCAAAGTCAAATGCACCTTAGGAAGCATCACTACAAACAAAGGTAGTGGAGGTGATTGAATTACAGTTGAGTTATTTCAAATCCTAAAAGATGATGCTGTTAATGTACTGCACTCAATATGCCAGCAAATTTGGAAAACTCAGCAGTGGCCATAGGACTGGAAAAGGTCAGTTTTCATTCCAATATCAAAGAAGGACAATGCCAAGGAATGTTCAAACTATCACACAATTGTATTCATTTCACCCAGTACCAAAGTAATGCTCAAAATTCTCCAAGCTAGACTTCAAGAGTACATGAACCAAGAACTTCCAGATGTTCAAACTGGATTTAGAAAAGGCAGAGGAAAAAGAGATCAAATTGCCAACATCTGTTGAATCACAAAAATAGCAAGAGAAATCCAGAAAAGCATCTACTTCTGCTTCATTGACTACACCAAAGCCTTTGACTGTGTGAATCACAACTAACTGTGGAAAATTCTGAAGGAGATGGGAATACCAGACCACCTGATCTGCCTCCTGAGAAATCTGCATGCAGGTCAGGAAGCAACAGTTAAAATAGGACATGGAACAGTAGACAGGTTCAAAATTTGGAAAAGAGTACATCAAGGCTGTATATTGTCCCCCTGCTTATTTAACTTATATGCAGTGTACATCATGTGAAATGCCAGGCTGGATGAAGCAAAAGCTAGAATCAAGATTTCCAGGAGAAATATCAACAACCTCAGATATGCAGATGACACCATCCTAATGGCAGAAAGTGAAGAGGAACTAAAGAGCCTCTTGATGAAGGTGAAAGAGGGGAGAGAAAAAAATTGGCTTAAAAATCAACATTGAAAACCTAAGATCATGACCTATGGCCCCATCACTTCATGACAAATAGATGGGGAAACAGTGGAAACAGTGACAGACTTTATTTTCTTGGGCTCCAAAATCACTGTGGATGATGACTGCAGCCATGCAAGTAAGATATTTTCTACCTGGAAGAAAATCTATGATGAACCTAGACAGCATATTAAAAACCAGTGATATCACTTTGCCAATAAAGGTTTGTATAGTCAAAGCTATGGTTTTGCCAGTAGTCATGTATGAATGTGAAGGTTAAACCATAAGGAAAGTTGAGTGCAAAATAATTGATGCTTTTGAACTGTGGTGTTGGAGAAGACTCTTGAGAGTCCCTTGGACTGCAAGGAGATCCAACCAGTCCATCCTAAAGGAAATCAGTCCTGAATATTCATTGGAAGGACTGATGCTCAAGCTGATGCTCCAATTCTTTGACCACCTGATATGAAGAGATGACTCATTAGAAAAGATCCTGATGCTGGAAAAGATTGAAGGGAAGAGGAGAAGTGGATGACAGAGGACAAGATGGTTGGATGGCATCACCAACTCAGTGGACATGCATTTGAGCAAGCTCTGGGAGATGGTGAAGGTCAGGGCAGCCTGGCGTGCTTCAGTCCACAGGGCCACAAAGAGTCAGTCACAACTGAACACCTGAACAGCAACAACAACAAAAACACTCAACACATTTTTGCCAAAGAGAAATATGTTTGTTTATTCTTGTAGCATGAAAATCTGTGCTTTAGGATTTGATGAACTCTTGGAAAGCATTGTCTGCCTCCTACCAGTTGTGGAAGCACTTTCCCTTCAAAAAGTTGTCAAGATGCTTGAAGAAGTGGTAGTCAGTTGGTGAGGGGTCGTCTGCATATGACAGATGAAGCAAAACTTCATAGACCAATTTGTTCAATTCTGAAGTGTTGGTAATGTGATTTGCGGTTGAGCATTGTCATGGAGAAGAACTGGGCCCTTTCTGTTGATCAGTACTGCAGACATTGCAGTTTTCAGTGCATCTCATCGATTTACTGTGCATATTTCTCAGATGTAATGGTTTCACTAGGATTCAGAAAACTGTAGTATATCAGACAGGCAGCAGGCCACCAAACAGTGATCATGATTTTTTTGATGCAAGTTTGGCTTTAGGAAGTGCTTTGGAGCTCTTAGTTTAACCACTGAGCTGGTCATCACCAGCTGTATACAATCCACATTTTGTCTCACACCCCCATTTGACTGAGAAATGGTTCATTGCTATTGCATAGAATAAGAGAAGATGCCATTTCAGAACAATATTCTTGATTTTTGATCAGCTCATGAGGTACCCACTTCTTGAGCTTTTTCATCTTTCCCAGTTTGCCTCAAATGCCAAACAACTGTGGAATGGTCGATGTTGAGTTCTTCCCTAACTTCTTGTGTAGTTGTAAGAGGGTTAGCTTTGATGACTGCTTTCAGTTGGTGGTTGTCAACTTCTGTGGCCAGCCTCTATGCTCCTAATCTTCAAGGCTCTCATCTCCTTTGCAAGACTTCTTGAACCACTACTGTGCTGTATGTTCTTTAGCTGTTCCTAGGTCAAATGGGTTGTTGATATTGTGAGTTGTCTCCACTGTTTTGCAACCCATTTTGAACTCAAATAAGAAACTCGCTTGGATTTGCTTGTTGTCTAACATCACTTTCGTAGTTTAAAAAAGTATAAGATAAACAGCAAGTAATGTCATTAGCAAAGAAACATAAAGTGAGAAATATGTATTAAAATGATGTTTAACTTAACTATATTTATTTAGAATGTATTCTGATATCAAATGACAAATTTCAGTAATGCAAAAACTGAAGTTAGTTTTGCATCAACTTAAATATTTGTGTTTAATTTGTTTTATTTGGTATTTACAGATCTTTGAGGGCTGTCTTGTCTTTGTCTCATGTTTTCAAATTACGAATTTTCAGTTGCGAGCACCCCGATTAATATGTTTTTTCATACTGTACCTTTTACATTTGTAGGTGTATTTGCCAAACCTTGAGCAAGAAGATCACAATTCTAGTGACACATCAGTTGCAGTACCTAGAAGATGCAACTCAGATTCTGATACTGAAAGATGTAAGTAATTTCTAGAAGTCTGTGGAGCTTGCTCACACTCAGATATATTGAAGGCCAGATCCTCCAAGCAGATCACTCTCCTTGGATATGTGGTAAACGCCCTCTTCTCCCTCACTTTTATATCCCCTCTTCTGAGAGCTGGTGATATTCATATCTTTGAGGATGAATCAAAAGACCTGTGGAAGTGTCACTACTACACTCTAAGCCACATAAAGCCTAAAGTATATTAAAGTGCTACTGTGAAATCACTGAATTATCACTTCTAGTGAAACTTTTTTAAAGATAATGATGCTATTTTATTTAGAACATTTATTTCCCCTTCCACAAATTAAGTCAAAGTATATTAGTATTTGGAAATTAGAGATACTAAGACCTGTTTTGTACCCATGTGATATCATGTGCAATTTGCCTGAAGGGCATCTTCCATTAGCACCAGAAGCAAGGTTGGGTAGCCGAGCACCTGGGAGATGCCCACTCTGCTGATGTTGCCAGTTGCTGGTCTCCCTGCCCAGGTCTCTATGTGCCCAATATGTGTGGGAGCCTGTGTAGCAGGAGGACAAGGTCCTGCTTTCATGGGGCTCCTGTTCTTATGGGGAGGATGTGACATCCTGGATGCCTCCCTGAGGAGCTGGTGCCTCATGGCCTCTGAGTGACATGAAGGTGGGGGCCACACAGTCACCTGGGGGAGGGGGTCTGAGGCAGGGGGTCCTAAGGAAGGAGCTGACCTGGCATGTTGGAGGAACAGAAGGAAGACCAACGTGTCTGAGTAGAATGAGGAGGGGGTCATGGAAGGAGCTAGTCTCCAAGTAGTGGGCAGCAGGCCTGGAAGTGGAATGGAAGCCGTTGGATGGTCCAGAGCAGAGGAGGGAGGTGGTCTGATGTGGGATTTAAAAGATTCCTTCCATGTTTGCTGGAGGAACAACAGCAGAAGCAATTTGAAATCTTAGTAACATTGGGAAGGCAGAAATACAGGCTCAGGCTAGGATGTCAGTTTCTAGAGCTACTGTAACAAAGCACCACAAGCTGAGTGACTTAATACAACAGAAGTTTATGGTCTCCCTGTTCTAGAGGCTGTGGGCCCCAAATCCAGGTGTGGCAGGACCATGTTCCCCCTGAAGGCTCCAGGGGACAATCCTTCCTTCCAGTCTCTGGTGTTTGCCAGCCCTCCTTGGTGTTCCTTGGCTTCCAGCAGCAGCATTGTGGTCTCTCTCTCTCTTGTCACATGGCCATTGTCCCCATGTCAGTCTGGGTCTCCTCTCTTCTCATAAGAATGTCAGGCACATTGGATTTAGGGTTGCCCCGCTCTAGTGTTACCTCATCTTAACTTCATTACATCTACAGAGACCCTGTTTCCATTAAATAATGTCGTGTTCACAGGTGTCATGTTTAGGGCTTTATCATACCTTTTTAGGGGGACACCATGCAATCCACTGCACCTGACATAATTGAGGGTGGGCTGAAGATTAGCAGTTTTCAGACCTAGTGGTTGTTTGATGCTTCAGTCCTTGGCTTGTTTGCCTCTGTACCTCAGCACCTCCTTTGTTAACCCATGTCTGTTCCAATAGGCTTTAGTCAGATTTCTCACTTATGAGATGAATTTCTGCTCCAAATTAGATTATTAAAATACAGCACCTCTACTTCTCTAGAAGCAGTTCCATGTGTTGACTCTTTTCCACTCCTCCAGCAATAGGGGTTTCAGATTTCTCAAGCTTGAAAGCAGTTAATTCCATGTACAGAGGGAGTGATAGTAGTGTGTAAAATCCCAACATTGATAGTATTATTTAGCCCATCCTTAGATGTTTTGGTATTCTCTGATTGCTTCTTTTGATGACACCATCCCCACATTTAGTACTATCAGAATGATTTGTCCACTGGTGGGCACCCCTGGATGAGTCGGGGTCTATCCTTCCTGTTTGTCTAGTCCCTTTCTAACAGCAGAGAGCAGATCACTATGCCCTAACCCCTTTGGAATTGTTATTCCTTGGCTGCTGAGTGAAATTGCTATCTTTATAACACGTCATTTCCTTTTGCCTCTTACAGATACAAAATGGAAAGTATTAATCTCATTTTAAAAAGATGTGTGACTTTTGCCTCCCAAGTAGAACAAGACACAGTGCATCATGAATAACTAAGTCTGCAGTATCAAATGTTGCCCAAAGGCTTCATTGGGTTTCTCCCAGGGGTCCACCTCAGGGTGTGGAATGATAGGGTTACCAACAAGGATGCTGGGCCACCTTCTTTCCACCTGACCTGCCTCAGCCAGACATGTCCTCCTTTGGTTAGTTTTTCATCCTGAGATTTTGCCTAATATTTTGTTTGCCTCTAAGTGAATCAGCCGAGTTTTGATTCATGGAGTCAGAAAACAGTGAAAACATTGCACATTATTTTCTATAACTTTGTAAGAGAGGGAAACTGCAATTATGTGTCACACATGTTCAAAGAACATTAAATTGGCTGTAGGTTTGGTAGTTGCCTAATTTAGGGAAGCTGGGTTGGCCTCTTATGATTGGTTGTTCTTAATTTTTCTTGGATCTGAGTGCATTGATAGTGGTTTAGGTTTTGGTTTACTGGCATGGGCTTTCAAGACATTAGAGCCACCAGTCTCATGGCCTCCTTGCTTATGAACTATTTTATAAGGTAGAATATTGAATTTTCAGTTTGGAACTTCCTGAGTGTGTGGGATAGTTGTAAAGATCATGAAGACACAGCTCATGGGTTCTCTGTCCAGAGCTGGTTCCTATACATCCTATTCCAGCTGGACCTGTGATATTATGACAGTGACAGTGGTCAGTGAATGTTTGATGAATGACCCTTACCTATGGAGATATGCTTGTGTCCACCTCTGGGTTAGTTTTAAGTTTCTTTCCTGGAATATCCTTCCCAGTTGACTGTTTTTTTAAAAATTCTGCTTCTCACACAAGCTTCTCTCAATTCCCATGTTGTCTATAGAGACTTTGCTGATTCTCACACCAACCTCCATGCTGCTTATTTCCGTATGTGCCCAGGGTAACTATATTAATGGCCTACATTAATTTTAACACAAATGCACACATTTCTTTCATATTCCCCAAAACCTAACACAAGTTTTGTCAGAGACAGAATGCTCAGTTCTGTGTTGAGTTGAACTGAACTAGAATTGTCAGCCAGAATTCCATTCCTAAGGATCATTTTCTTAGGCAAATTGTAATTTAAGCCCAGTTAACTTTTCTTGATTAGTATTTAGAGTACATTAATATTTTCAAATGCAAATGCATTCCTCTCAAATTCTTTATTTTAGGGCAGAATGGTGCAAAAGGGAATTTATGCTGAATTTCCAAAACCTGGGATAGATTTCGAAGACATCCTTTTGAAAACAGAGAATGAGAAGGCTGAACTACCTCCAGGTCCAGGAACTCCCACTCTGAGGAAGTGGTCCTCCTCTGAGTCTTCAGTCATTACAGTTCAGTCATTACAGTCTTCTAGCCCCTCATTGAAAGATGCGGCTCCAGAAGACAAAGATGTGAGTTTCTCATCCTGCAACATGCCCTGGTCTGTCTGCTCTTGGTGGCCTCGTGGGCCTTCAGTCTGCTTCTCTCGTGACATCTTTGTTTGTCCCAAAGTAGATCCTAAGTTTCCAAGGTCTTATTCCATGGACTTGGTAGAATTAAATTGTTCCCTGCTTGGGGTTCTTCCTTGGGTGTAGGATTGAGGATCTTATGGAGATCAGTAGCGGGTGCACTGCTATGACTTCCTGAGCGTATGTGGCTCATAATGATATGAAAACTCTTCAGTTTACAGTAGTTATATCCTACTCACTCTGGTGGCCTCCAACTTCCCTTATACATCCAGAGGTTTAATGTGAAGACCCCCTTAGAGTGAGTCCTTCTGTGACCACACTGAGTCAGCTACTTTTCCTATATGTAGGAATGTTCTCGCCCTGCAGGTGAGTAATAGTAGTATTTTGCTCCATCATCAGATGGTTTGTGATAGGCCAGAGGTAGCCTGTGCAAAGGACCCATCACTCAGCAGACACTTTGTAGTTAGTTCTCATCTTCCTTTCTCATCCTTTAAGACCGAGAACCACATCTTATCCACCTTCAGTCTTCAGTGATCAGGACAGAGCTGAGGACATCCTAGGCTCCTATGACTCTATAATGCATCTTAAGTCCTCCAGACAGAAACACACTAGATCTTCCTTAAAAATATACACAGGTATTCCTCTATATCCAAATCCTCACTATCCAGACCTAGGAGCCTGGATGATTCTGATAAGTGTTCAGATTAGTCTTCCTCACATCCCTACATTCAGGAATCACTCTCTGAAATTTAGGAACCAAATAAATTCTGATCATATGCTTGTACCCTAAGATCCAAACTCACATTACTACAATTCTCTATGTGAACTCAGTTTACTGTATTAGGTTAATATTTTGAGGCCCAGGTATGTTTTATGTTTCCATTCTTGAGTGACACAAATAATCTAGAAGTATACATTAGCTCCATATAATTTTGTGTATTATTTTGGAACAAGCTTCTGCACTTATACTTGAATAAGGTATATTGTGCATGTGCTGAGAGTCATGATCAACTTAAAGCAAAGCCCTTCAACAATGAATAACTTTATGTGAATGATGTTTCTTTGTTTCTAATAAATTCTTAGGAATAGGATGGCTGGATCCGAGAGTCAATGCACACATGGTTTCACTAGATATTCCCACACCCTTCCCTGTAGGAGGTGTGCCATCTTGAACTCCTGCAACTGTATGAGATGAATCTGTTTCCCTATAGCTTTGCAATGGATGGCATTGTTGAACTTTTGAACCTTGGAGGTTCATTATTTAAAATTTTGTCTCTCATTGCCATTTTCCCCTCCCAGACTGAGAATATACAGGCTATACCATCACTGGAGAGCTGTTCAATAGGAATGGTTGGTTTTAAGATCTACAAAAATTGCTTCAGAGCTGGTGCTCACTGGTTCATCATCATTTTCCTTATTCTAATAAATGTTGCAGCTCAGGTAAATAACAACATTTATTTTGGTTTGTGCTTTCAGCTTGATCTTTATGTGCTATTCATAACATGTTTATTTTATTATTTTTAATATGTATATTAAGAGATATGTTTCCAAGACTTGGCTCATGATGTTGTGGAATCTTGCTAGGTGAATCTGAAATCAGAAAGGCAGGCCTGCAGCCTGGAACCTTAGGCAGGAGTTGACTCTGCTGTCTTGAGGCAGAATTTCTTCCTCCTCTGAGAACAGGAAGCATTGATTTTTGCTCTTAAGGCCTTCATCTAACTGGATGAGGCCACCGCAGTGTTTAGGGTGATCTCCTCTACTGAAGTTCTGATGATGGATATGAACCACATCCACAATATACTTCACAGCAACATCTAGATGGGTGTTTGGTTGAATCACTGGAGACTGACTTCACCAAACTGACACTGTTAACTGATCATTACTGCACCTGTCAAGCTTTTTTCCTTGGAAGAATCCCAACATTTGTACTGTTGCATTTTGCAGTCCACTTGGATTTGCATTGAAATACATTATATGTGGAGAGCAAAGTCTTCTAGGGAAAAGGGGATATCTTTTAAAGGTTTTAAAATGTAGCATGACCTCCCCTGAGCTGTGGTCATCTGGGGTGTGGGGCTTGGCACAAACCTGAGCCAGAAGGACCGTCTCTGTGTTCTGGAGTCTTTCCATCCCCCATCCTAGTGAGCGGGGTGTGAGGGTTTAGTGACATCAGGGTCTGAGTGACTGTGTTTCCTGCTCCAGGTCACCTACATCCTGCAGGACTGGTGGCTTGCAGACTGGTGAGTGATTCCTGGTCTGACCCAAAGGGCTGTGAAATCTACACGAAGCCTCACTTCTCCACAGTTGGGATGGGGAGGTGGGGTTTGTTCAGTCTCTTCCTCTGACCCTCATGTTGTTTCCCTGAAGAAAAACTAAAGTTCCTGCTGATGGCATGTGACCCTCCCATGGTCTCTCCCCATATCTGACCCCCAGGAGCTTCCTCACAGACAATTTTGAGAAACAGAAGTCATGATTGAAATTGAATCTTTATAAAGTAGATGGACACAGGGCATTATGAGCTGGGAATATTTCAGCAAGAAACACATATCCCATATTGACAATTTTTTGTGTTTGTCTAAATTCTATCTATAACATACTATCTTTTTTTTCTTTCCCATTCCATAGGGCAAATGAAAGGAGTACCATATATGCCATGGTCTTTGGACAAGGAAACATGATTGTGATGCCTGATCCTGACTGGTACTTAAGAACTTATTCAGGTAAAGTTGAATAATCCACTCTATCTGAAGTGCTTACAATGAGCCTGTGTGAGCAGCTAAGGCTTCCAGGAGTTATTCAGTAAGATCTTAGTGGGTTAAGAGTCTGAGTTGCAGTTTCTCCTTGAATTAATTAGAATAATTATTTTTTAAATTACTAGAAGAAAGAGGTTGAATGAAGTCTCTTAATTTGTTCAGTACTAGATTTTGGAAGTTACACCAGGATTGCATATTGAGAAAATCAGCCACTGGAAATATGTAGCTATTGTGTATTCTAGTAGGTGCTTTAGCTAAATCTTATCCCCTCATAGCTCAGTTGGTGAAGATACTGCCTGCAATGCAGGAGACCTGGGTTTGATTCCTGGGTTGGGAAGATCCCCTGTAGCAGGAAATGGCAACCCACTCTAGTATCCTTGCCTGGAAAATCCCATTGACAGACGAACCTGGCAGGCTACAGTCTGTGGGGTTGCAAGAGTTGGGCACAACTGAGCAACTAGGCACACACATATTACTATACGGATGGGCAAGGGAATTAGAAACAGATCCTCACTTTGTGATTTAGATTGTTTCAATTCTGTCTAAATAAACCTTGGCTTTTCCTGAACTTGGGTGAAATCCTCTGGCAGCATGGGCCCCCAGATAAAAGCATTATTTCTTCACAGGTATGCAAAGATCCCCTTCACCATACTGCTCATCTCTTGAGCTTCACAAATTGCTTAAGAGAGAAACTAAGTAGGGGGAATCCAGTGTCTGGGAATTAAGATTCCTTCTCTTTCTTACTTTGAGATCACAATTTTATTGTGTCTGCAACTGTGATTAACTTAGAGGCTTGCCAGACTTATATTAACACAGCTTTCTACTTTCAAAAGAATGCATAGTATATATATATATAGTACTACACAGTTTTTAAAGGAAGTCTCATCTAAAATATTAATATTCCTGTGGGAAACCTTTATACAAGCTTTCTACAGAGTGTGATATCTTTATAAGAACCCACTCATTGAAATTTGGTGTTTATTACATTGATCTTTTGCTGAGAAACAAATCCATTTGTTGTTTATCTTCTGAATTGGTAGACTGTGGGGACTTAGAGAAGTAAGGAGGGATTCTATTATGCATTCATATAGGATGGTGGGATAAGACAAATACCCATAGATGGAATCCAGGAATTTGAGTAACTTTCAGAGCTGAAGTCATATGTCAGCTGAAGGAGAAAAAAAAGTACTTGATGGAATACTTCTTACAGAAGTCATGTCTACTCTAGCATTGTGAATTCAAGAGATTTAAGAAGGGCTATTAAAAAAAAACAAAAAAAAACTTATATACTTTTAATTTTGGCTGCACTGAATCCTCATTGCTTTGTGCAGACTTTCTCTAGTAGCACGAGCAGGGGCTACTCTTAGTTTCAGTTTGGGGCTTCTGATTGCAGTGGCTTCTCTTGTTGCAGAGCACAGGCTCTAGGCTCATAGGCTTCAGTAGTTGCAGCACACAGGCCCAGTAGTTGTGACTTGCAGGCCCAAGAGCATGCAGGCTCAGTAGTTGTAGCACAAGGGTAGTTACTCTGTGGCATGTGTAATCTTCCCAGTCCAGGGAGTAAACCCATATCCCTTGCATTAGCAGGCAAATTTTTATCCACTGCACTACCAGGGAAGTACTAGAAGGGCTATTTTAATTTTTATATGCTGAGGGGGATGCGTGTATACCTGTGGCTGACTCATGTTGATGTATGGCAAAAGCCATCACAATGTTGTAATAAATCCTCCAATTAAAATTAGTTAAATATATAAAACCACAAATTAAAAAAAAATTATATGCATAGGGGCACTCATTTATGTCACTAAATAAAATATGTTTAAAAGATTATGTTCATTTCCAAATGCTTCATGTTTCTATTAAACACTTAGAGATTAGTTGCTTGTTTAGGTTAATTATGTCATGTTAAAATATAATTTGTATTTTCTTGCAATTATTTGTGAGATTTTCTGCTTGCAACTTAATGCAATATTTTCACAGTCTTAACAGCTGTTTAGGCATGGAGATAGCTACTTTACACATTTCCGAGGAAATGGTAAATATTTCTCCTGTTCCCTGTTAATTCAAGTTGGTACTAAAGCATTCCCCAATTTTAGATTGTGGGACATGTAATTTGTAAGATTTGAAATAGAAGCAAAGGAAGATCAACTACTTTTATTGATATAATTTTCTTTCTTCTGAGTTTTTATTAAAACTTGTAATTGTATTAGGAAAGCCTAGAATGAAATTGTAGCTTATACCTGATCTTTTCCCCATGTGGTTTCTATTTAATGAGAAAACATAGTAATTTTTATATTCTTCCTTATAAATTAAACTCTTACAGGATCCATTGTATATATACACATCTATTCTATATATGAATTTGCATATAAATTATATTATGGAATACAACATATAATATCTTTATAAAGTGCCTGACTTGCTTTATCATCATGGAAGCAAAGGCAGAGACCTTATGCTCTGAGTGATGTTTCTTGTTTCAGGTTTAATGATAGCTACCGGCCTTTTCAGCATCACGAGATCTCTGTTGTTAATCTACGTCCTTGTTAATTCTTCACAAACTTTGCACAATGAAATGTTGGAGTCTATTTTGAAAACTCCGGTATTGTTCTTTGATAGAAATCCAATAGGTAAGTCAGACATCAAGCTTATTAGCAAACATGTCTTGTTAATGCATTTAGTACCTGACTACATTTGGTGTTTGAAATTGGAGGAGATTCTTGGAAGAAAATCACTGTGCATGTTGATCCATCTTCTACAAAAAGCTTTCTGATGTCTTCTTCTACCAGGGAAAATCTGAATATAGAAGCATATAAACTTTTATTCCAGTTCATGTATATGTGGAAAGATAAATAAATGTTCACTTTGCAGAGGCATATGAAACACACTACAGTTGATGCAAACATAAATCAGTGTTGACTGGTTGCTAAAACATTGGCTGTGTTACCTAGCATTAAGGTAGGTTGTTCATTAGGAAGGAACTTCTTACAATGAATCTCTACCTGAGATAGGCTGTGTGTTACTATCTTTCATTTCCCATCCATTTCTGGGATCACAGAATTCTGACATGTGCCTATACTTCGAGGTTTACCTAAAATGGTAATGAAAACTTAATGAAAATGCAAGATTGGTGAATGTAAACATCCTCTTCAATGAAATTAACTCTATAGTTTTACAGTGGACATTTGGTGACTTATACGAGGCTAACTTCAATAACTCTAAGTGGGCTTCCCTGCTGGCTCAGACAGTAAAGAATCTGCCTGTGATGTGAGAGACTCAAGTTCGATCCCTAAGTCAGTAAGATCTCCTGGATAAGGGAATGGCAACCCACTTCACTATTCTTGGCTGGAGAATCCCATGGACAGAGGAGCTTGGTGGACTATGGTCCATGAGATTGCAAAGAGTCAGATGTGACTGAGTAATAACTCCGTAAGAGGCTAACTTCACTTGGATCCACAGGAACCTTCTGCAAACTGGTAGTTTCCCCATGTATTTATAAATTGAAGATAAATAGATGTTGATGAACTCTGTAATGATCAGAATTAATCTTTCCAATAATTGTGTCCCCTGATTGATGTATAGCAAGATGGTCACTGAGTAGATTCTAGGTCTTATAGTCTCTCCTCATGAAGAAACAATTTTAAATAATAATTTTTTATATTTGTTTTATGTTTTTTTATAAGAGTCCATTGGTACAGAAGGCTTCCCATCTTAAAAACAAAGTTGGAAAGCCACTGGGTTTATGGTGTTTTATGAGTAAATCCTATTTGAGCACTCTCCACCCAACCCAGCACTTTGCATTTTGTTATAGATTTTATGTGAAATGTGGCCCATGTTTACAATGGGTGTATAATCTAGCTGTGAACTCAAGACTAATAAACCTGAAAAGTAGTTAGACCACCAAATAGATTATACTATGATGTGTTCTGAGAAATACCCAGACTCCAGGCAGAATCTGGAAGTATGTTCTTCATTTTCAAAAAGTATCAGGATGTCTTTAAATATGAGAATTGCTTATGTCTTTGCTAAGAGCATGTGGTCTTATTTTAGGTCCCACTGGGTTGCAGGGTCTCCTCAGTCCTCAGCACTAAAAGTAAAAATGAAGGAACAGAGGTTGGAGGCATGTGCTGGGCAACAGCAAAATGTGTCAGCTGAAGGCAGAGTATTATAATTTTTTTTTTTTAAATATCATAGTTGAGTGGGCTGGAGTGTGTTTTAAATAATCTTCAGTTCAATTCAGTTCAGTTACTCAGTCATGTATGACTCTTTGTGACCCTATGAATCACAGCATGCCAGGTCTCCCTGTCCATCACCAACTCCCGGAGTTTACTCAAACTCATGTCCATTGAGTTGGTGATGCCATCCAGCCATCTCATCCTCTGTCGTCCCCTTCTCCTCCTGCCCCCAATCCCTCCCAGCATCAGGGTCTTTTCCAANCTGCATATAGGTTTCTCAAGAGGCAGGTCAGGTGGTCTGGTATTCCCATCTCTTTCAGAATTTTCCACAGTTTATTGTGGTCCACACAATCAAAGGCTTTGGCATAGTCAATAAAGCAGAAATAGATGTTTTTCTGGAACTCTCTTGCTTTTTTGACGATCCAGTGGATGTTGGCAATTTGATCTCTGGTTCCTCTGCCTTTTCTAAAACCAGCTTGAACATCTGCAAGTTTACAGTTCACATATTGCTGAAGCCTGGCTTGGAGAATTTTGAGCATTACTTTACTAGCATGTGAGATGAGTGTAATTTTGCAGTAGTTTGAGCATTAAGTAACCCCAAAGGACATTGCAATGTTTAGAACCAGTTAAACCACTGGTGTTCAGAATATTAGATCTGAATTGTCAAGAAAAATTGTGTTTATGCTGTGTGTGTTTTGTTTAAAATAATCCTGTTTATATCACAGGAAACTGTATTCAATATTCTATAATAAACTATAAGGTAAAAGAACAAATAAAAACATAACAGAAGTCTCTTATCTTCATAAAAAAGGTTCTGTAAAATGACTAAAATAAGTTTTGTTATTTAAAAGGTACTTAGCAATTTGAAGTTTTACCCTTAAAGAAATCTGTCTTTTCCCTGACTAGTTTTGGTAAGCAGGTCTCTTGTCACACCTGTGATGACTGTTCTAGTCCAGGCTTTTGGGTTTCTAGTGGCAGAATCTACCCAGGTTAGTTCAGAGGAGGAGGGCTCAATCAAAAGAAAATGGGTGTCTCATGGAGCTGGAGGGATGCTGACTGTCCTATACCTGGGGATGGGAGCTGTGGTCCTCCTGGGAGCCAGGGCCATTGTCACAGGGCTTGTGCATGTTCTCAAGTCCCCTTGCCTCTCACCTTTTCTGGGTATGGTGGGTCTGATCCACTTTCCTGCTTGTCTCCTGGCAGGAGAACTTCTTCTTCATAGTTCCTGAGACAGGAGATCTGAAAGACTTGGTGGCTAATCTTGGATTAGGACTCCCTGGGCACTTTTGATCATTTAGCCATTGCCAGTGATGTGGAGGGTTCCTGAGAGGCCAAGACCATTTTTCCAAGTCTGTCCACTAAGGATAAAGGCATTCTAGGGAGTGGTAGATTACCAGGAGCTACATTTGTCAACAAGAGTCTCAGGGAGGAGAAAAGGGCTAAGGCTGGGATCTGAACAGATGTGGTGGGGACTGAGGACCTGCTTAGTGGGTGAATAGAAAAGAGAGGAGGGCCCCACATCAGAATAAGGATATGGGATCAGGAGTGGTGGAAGGGAGGTAAAGTGGGTTCCTCTCTTCTGTCTCTTCTCTCCTTACTATTCCTAAAAACATGGTATAATATTATTTCATAAAGAAAGGAGGTTGTAAATGAAATTACTTTATGACATGTTAAGGCCTGTTGATAATTATGTGAAATCAAGAGAAGTCAAAAGTGCATAAAAAGTTTCCATGCAGGCAATTTGGGCAGAGGTCTAAGGCAGGGCTTGTGAAGTTGGGTATGGGTAGTTGGGATATGCTAGATGTAAGATGTTCTGTAGGGCAGCCAAGAAAGTTTAGAAAGAGTATTCTCCTTAGGAAAAAATAAAAGGCAGCAAGGGATTTTGCTGGAAGTTGCCCTGAAAAGTGGGGTTTCCATGCCTCCTCTCTCTTGTGGGTGAAGATCTCAGGATGGCTCGACAGTAGCACCCAGCCCATGATAAAATATTATTGCATCACCCTGAGCAAGGTTGGACCTTGTCTCCTCCATCACTGAAAGTCTGATTTATGAAAGAATTTGAACATTTCTGTTAGCTGCAGAACCCTTTCTTCAAAGGCCGACTATGTGAAAGTCCAGATGTTTGAAAGGGGTTCTGTTTAGGATGGGCTGGTCGGTGAGAGAGATGGATGGGGTGTCTTGTCCTTCACGTCCTTTTCTGCCTCATTCTCTGGGGAACCTCTGTTGAATCTCAGATGCCTCACAGGACAAAGTTTGGAAATGACTAACCCTGGTGACCTTTCATGTCCCTTAAAACTCTAAAATCTCATAAGGACAATATGAACAAAACCTGTCGCAAGTAGGGTACTTCATAATTTAGAAGATATCTGCATAATCATATTTTTTATTCTGTGAATGTTATCATTTCCCTTTTACAGAAAAGGGGTTTGCCTCTCAGTGGAGGTTGACTGAGTTGTCTAAGGCCTCTTGCTGCTGAGGGTCAAAGGAGGACCAGAACTTGGTGGTTCTTCCACTGATGGTTTCCTAATTCTCTTGCTCTTTCAATTTCTTTTTTTTTTTTTTTTCCTGACAGCAAAGATAAAGAGACTGTGGAGCTCCCAGCCTTCTACAGCTCCTACTCCTTTTCTTAGTCCAGTCGGTAAATTAGTTTATGTAGAACGATGCAGGAAGTCCCCTGAATTACCTGCCACCTCCAGGCTCCACTGAACACTTATCCATTGGGCCAGTTTTGCCCCTTCCCCTTACATTGTACCTGGAAGTACAGATGTGTTTTCTCTGCCCCTTTGGAGGGACTCTGATCTTTTTTTTTCAATAGGCTACTTAGATGTAGATCCCATTTCTTACCAGGACAGAGGGTCTTTTATTGTTCTTCCCACCCCTCCATACTCCACTGGACTCAGAGCCTGGCTTCAACCCAGCACTGCTGGCTTCTGACTCTGCAGGGCTGTCAAACCAACAGATGATTCTTATCAAAGGAACTAGGTTCTAGAACCATAGGTGAAGCTAATTGTGGGTGCATATAAAGAAGGTCACAACACTGGAGTGTTCAAATAACATATATTCTCTTACTTACCCTCAAGGTCAGGTGTGGCCTGATATGTCATCTTTTTGACTGGAGCCTAGTACCACTTTTGTGGTAAAGAATGGGGCTCAAAAAGACATACACTATGTCATGGGTGAACCTCAAAAATATTACACTGGGTGAAAAAAGTCAGACTCAGAGACCACAAATTGTACAATTCTGTTAGTATGTTATGTCCTGAAAAGGCAAATTTATAGAGAAAGTAGATTAGTGTTTGCCTGATCTACAAGTGGGAACAGGGTATTACTATGGCATGAGGGGATCTAACTGGGGGCATAAAAATGTCTTAAAACTTATTTTGGTGGTGGTTGCATCACTCAATAAAGTTACAAAACTCCATTGAATTGTACATTTGAAATGGGCAAATTTTATGAGA